CTGTAAAGGAGCTAAACCTTTTGGGCCCATTTTTTATTTACAAAACCTGCTCACACCCAACATATCAATCATCTATCTGCAAATGGTTATTGATTCAGGCAAAAAAAATCTTGAAAAGACTTTTAGCAGACTCAACTCTATTGTCATGCATAATCTTAAGGCAAATTACAACACAATTAGCAAGAAAAATCTTTACAAACATCAGCCAACGCTTTTACGTGAAAGAACAGCCAATTGGCACCATAAAAACATGTGATCATTGTGTAGGATGGAAATGAGGTGTTCCCTCCTTCTAATGAGGTGTTTCAGGTACATGAGGTGTATTACTTTCATTGTGTAGGATGGAAATGAGGTGTTCCAGGAACATGAGGTGTATTACTTTCATTGTGTAGGATGGATATATTACTTTCATTGTGTAGGATGGATATATTACTTTCATTGTGTAGGATGGATATATTACTTTCATTGTGTAGGATGGATATATTACTTTCATTGTGTAGGATGGAAATGAGGTGTTCCAGGAACATGAGGTGTATTACTTTCATTGTGTAGGATGGAAATGAGGTTCATTGTGTAGGATGGATATATTACTTTCATTGTGTAGGATGGATATATTACTTTCATTGTGTAGGATGGAAATGAGGTGTTCCAGAAACATGAAAACTGCTATACCACTTGTTACAGAAATTTGAATATTTACATACATACCACTTGATTCTTTACATATTTGCTGAAACTTCAAAGGCATGTAGAAGCATTCGTTTGTTGTTCATACATTCCCCATATCAGAAAAAATGTCTCAGATTTTTTAAAAATTTGAAACATCTTCGATATGGAGAAATGTCACTGTAAATCTCATTTGAATGCCAAGATATGTGACTAGTGTCAATTAATAATGAAGTGGCTAGCAGTAAGAGGCAAGCAAGATCCATATAACAGAGTTATTGGCTGAAAACATAGTTATTGGCTGAAATCAATTCACTTGCTGAATTTAATGCCATTAACTGAAACCATTTGGAATAATTCTAATGAGCATTGTGTCTCAGATTTTGAGGAGAACATATGGATGATATTATATGGTCATACACTTGTTACAGAAATTTGAATATCTACATACATACCACTTGATTCTTTACATATTTGCTGAAACTTCAAAGGCATGTAGAAGCATTCGTTTGTTGTTCATACATTCCCCATTTCAGAAAATATGTATCAGGTTTTTAAAAATTTGAAACATCTTAGATATGGAGAAATTTCACTGTAAATCTCATTTGAATGCCAAGATATGTGACTAGTGTCAATTAATAATGAAGTGGCTAGCAGTAAGAGGCAAGCAAGATCCATATAACAGAGTTATTGGCTGAAAACATAGTTATTGGCTGAAATCAATTCACTTGCTGAATTTAATGCCATTAACTGAAACCATTTGGAATAATTCTAATGAGCATTGTGTCTCAGATTTTGAGGAGAACATATGGATGATATTATATGGTCATACACTTGTTACAGAAATTTGAATATCTACATACATACCACTTGATTCTTTACATATTTGCTGAAATTTCAAAGGCATCAAGAAGCATTCGTTTGTTGTTCATACATTCCCCATTTCAGAAAATATGTATCAGGTTTTTAAAAATTTGAAACATCTTAGATATGGAGAAATTTCACTGTAAATCTCATTTGAATGCCAAGATATGTGACTAGTGTCAATTAATAATGAAGTGGCTAGCAGTAAGAGGCAAGCAAGATCCATATAACAGAGTTATTGGCTGAAAACATAGTTATTGGCTGAAATCAATTCTCTTGCTGAATTTAATGCCATTAACTGAAACCATTTGGAATAATTCTAATGAGCATTGTGTCTCAGATTTTGAGGAGAACATATGGATGATATTATATGGTCATACACTTGTTACAGAAATTTGAATATCTACATACATACCACTTGATTCTTTACATATTTGCTGAAATTTCAAAGGCATCTAGAAGCATTCGTTTGTTGTTCATACATTCCCCATATCAGAAAAAATGTCTCAGGTTTTTAAAAATTTGAAACATCTTAGATATGGAGAAATTTCACTGTAAATCTCATTTGAATGCCAAGATATGTGACTAGTGTCAATTAATAATGAAGTGGCTAGCAGTAAGAGGCAAGCAAGATCCATATAACAGAGTTATTGGCTGAGAACATAGTTATTGGCTGAAATCAATTCACTTGCTGAATTTAATGCCATTCACTGAAACCATTTGGAATAATTCTATTGAGCATTGTGTCTCAGATTTTGAGGAGAACATATGGATGATATTATATGGTCATACACTTGTTACAGAAATTTGAATATCTACATACATACCACTTGATTCTTTACATATTTGCTGAAATTTCAAAGGCATCTAGAAGCATTCGTTTGTTGTTCATACATTCCCCATATCAGAAAAATTGTCTCAGGTTTTTAAAAATTTGAAACATCTTCGATATGGAGAAATGTTCTGGCAATTGCTTCTCTAATGATATTTTGCCTGGTGATATGAGTAATCTTACTATTTTCATATTTCAGAAGCAATAGTTTTTTGACTAATCATATGTATAGACGACTAAGCAATAATTTGATGTTACCATATGTCATGCTTGCAATGTGATATGCATAATCCATAATGTCAAGGTCATATGCATAATCTGATTTGAACCAACAGAAATCGGGTAGAGATGAAGAAAAGAATGGCCGAATTGTAGCATGTAATAAAGATACTCCTTTCCCAAATCCATATTGTAGCATTCAATAGAGATGCAACGGATAATGTAAACAATTTTTTTGTAAGACGTTTCCCAGTAATGGAAGTTCTTTGTGAGACAGATGCCAAATCAAGAGAAGTTTTAGAAGAATATGTTAACTACCAAACAATCACTCGCAAAACTCAGAGATCCGAAGCAATAGAAGCAGGTACATGTAGAAGAACCAAAAAAAATTCATCGATCCATAAAACTCACGAATCCAGATCTTACCGGAGAGGGAAAAAGAACGAGAAATCGAGCCCTAATGATGCTTTCGTTCGGAGAGGGAGGGAGCGCGGGGCGAGCGCGAGGGAGATCACCAAGGGCAAAAGAAGGAATTGCAGCCCTAACGCCAACAGCCAACGCCGAACGCAGGAGGCGCCCCGCGATCCGCATAATGAAGAAAAACCGAACCGCGGGACGCAGCGTTCAGAACGCCGCCGAACGAACGCTCGAAACAAACGGGTAGGCGGCGTTCTGAAAACGCCACCGTCGATGAAAAAGCTGTGCCAAACAGGGCCTTAGTCTTCTTGAAACCCACGCCTTTAATTAATAGAGCCAATCGAGCAATCAAAATATGAATTGCCAGCAGAAAATAAAAGTAGAATTTGAAACCTCACATTTGTTGTCTAGAAACTCATCTTTATTAGCATTGTTGGCAGCTTTTGTAGAGGTTAAACACATAATATCAAGTTGATAACAACTTGGACGCTCTTCTAATCTAGGCATTTGCCGCTGAACATGGCATTCCATTCGGGCAAAGTTGCATTATGGGTCCTCCGCCTTTGGATCCACATTTGACTCGATCAAGATGATTCATTGATTTAATTATCATCATAGCTTAAATATATGAAATGCGGGATATTGACTTGTGATAATTCTCTCCCTCCCAAGCTGCTACGGGCTACTTGAAACATCTTGGTAAAAATGGTGGATAAACGCATTAGCCTTTCACTGCTATTTTGGTATTTGGGAGAGTTGGATATAACAATGTTACCCACTTTGCACAAATAAGAAGCCATGTCTCTCCATATTCTGTGATTCCAACCCAGGATATTAGGGTCAAAATGGAGGGCACATTAGCATGTTCTTTGAAGTTGATAATGAATTTATCTATAGTTATTTTTTGATATCTTGCACATTACATCATCTTTGTAGCTCATAAAATTTTCTGGTGCTTATTCTCCTCAATGCTGTCCAACAGATCTGAAGAGCATGGTATCAGGTGGCTTGACAGCATTGTCATCTTCTGGCTTTGATATTTCCAACACAGTTAATGGACATGCAACAATGAGTGTTTTATGCATTGGTCATGGCGGGGGTAGCTTGCCTTTATTCTTGGCTAGCAAAATTAAAGGTTTTTTTTATTTCCTCTTCTACATTTTTTAATCAAGCTTCTGTTCTCGAAGCAATTTTTTATAAGAGTTTTCAGCATTTTGATAACTTGTTTGATGTATTCTGCATAAACTTTCCTTTAATTATCTGCAAATTACTAAGCACTGGCTTTTAGTTAAGGATTAAAATAATCTGCAAACACAGACAAATTCAAATGGTTTACCATCATGACTAAAATCATCATTACTACAATACCTCCAAATATTGTTTTTTGTAACTAATGAGAGAGATTTTTCTGCTCAGGTGCTATCATTGATATCGTTGAGATTGATCCTGTTGTTATCTCAGCTTCAATTGTAGCTATGGGCTTCCCTGCATCTGCTACAGTAGAACAATTTGATAAAACATCCATACCACAACCTTCTGATGCAGACAAGCTTCTTTGGGGAAAACTATATAACCAACTGCAACTCTACCGATCTGATGCGGAGAATTTTATCATCCACAGCTCGAAAATGTATGATTTGATTTTCATAGATGCTTATGATGGCGACGATATCTTTCCTCGAAAGCTTTGGGTTTCAGATGGCCCCTTTCTCAAATCTCTTCAAAGTAGGCTTCATCCAGTTCATGGCACTGTGGTGGTTAATCTCCATGCAGATTCTGATGTTATTGCATCCGGGATAAGTGACTCCAATGTACTAGAAAGTGTTCTTCCAATGGGTAAGTATGTTACTCAGGTATGTAAAGCTTATAAGGAGAACCTTGGTTTTGCTTTCATTTTTTCGGTTCCTTGGCTATGCAACCTTACTCTTGTGGCTTCCAATGGCGTTGGTTTGGGGAGAGTTTATGAAGGGGTTTCTTTGAATAGGGACCTGGTGCAGAATGCTCTTGTATCCCATTCTAATATGATAGAATATCTTCTTGACTTGCCATTTTCTTGTTTGCCATATATCAAGAGAGATTTTCAGCTGGTTGATTGAGTTGCTGAAAATTGATTCCTTTTTTGTGAATATGATGATAGCTTTATAAGAATGTGCATCTCTCTTTAAAAATTGAGTTCTACAGTGGCGTTAAGTGGCTTGATTTGTGATTTGTTTATTTATTTTGTTCAAACTGGATGAAGTCAAAGAGGTGCAATGTTGGTCTGTGTGCCGCTCCACCAATATTAATAACTAGTACATTAAATCCTTGTTTATTGTTCATAGCATGTTTTTTAGATTTCGCTACCAATTTCACTCATTTTATGATAATAAAAATTAATATGTAACGAGTTCAGCCTTTGTTCTTACTGTCCTGTTTATGTTATATATTTAGAATTGGTGGGGCCTGCCACAGAAATTTGAACCCTCTTTACTATTGTTAGAAGCTCCTTCAAGCAAAGAGTTCATTTTGATTTCGGTGGGTTGAAAGAACTTCAGTCTGGGTGGTCAAGTCGGCATTAGTGGGTAAGTTTTTAAACGCCAAAATTAGATTTGTTTGGTTGGACGAAGAGAGGAGTGTGCTGTGGGATCACACTGCTACTTTACACCATCATTATCTTCTTCCTTGGTTTCATCATCAATTTGGTTCTTAATTTATGAGCTTTTATCATCTAAGAAAACGCAAAATTTACTTCAGTTTAGAAAGGGAGAAGAACAAGTCTATTCGTTAAATTGCGTTAACAGTTCAACAGGAACTATAAGATTCAAAACATCCTCGTAGTAGTGGCTTAAATTCTTTTCATACAGGTTATACGGGAAAGATAGTTTCACTTTTTATTAAGCAAGAAACACCTAAGAAGCCCACATTGCAAAATAATATATATGAAAAAATGCCAAGAAACCATCCGACTTTTTCTCCTTTCCATTGACCTCAACTCATCTAAGGTAAATATGTTGTGACAAAATAATTACTCTAAATATACTATAGTCAATAACAAATCACTATATTGTGACAACTGAAAATGAATACATTGTTAAACGGCCTCCTGAGCTTAAAAATATTGAAGAATGGTGTAAGTGTATGATTAATGTCGTAATCGTGACAGAATACAAGATGCTGAACTAGCTCAAGGATCTTACGAAGCAAGGAAGCTGGACTTTCTAGCAACTAGTTACTATAGAAACCTCTGTAAAGTTAATGTTATATTTGTTGTTTCTAGGGCTATTTCTAGGAAATTAACGGCCAATCCAAGAGAATGTTGCCACGCTGACTAGCGTCGGCCGGCCAACTCGTCCCGTGTGGCGATCATACTCACAACGCCTAGCCTAAACTAACCTAGTGCCGGCTAGGAAAGAAAACACAATAGGTTTTGAGATTCTTACCACCGTGGAGGTTGCGGGCGCGTTTCTTCAAGTAGGAGGAAGCTCTACCAACTATAGGAGAGAAGCCCACGTTTCGGTGATGCTCCGGTGGCGCTCCGACGATCCTTCCCCAAGTTAGGATGAAGCTCTCCTTTAGGGTTGGAGAGTAGGCACCTTGCTCCCTTGCTAGCTAAGCTCTTCCTCAAGAAGATCTCCTTACACACCCAAGAAATGTTATGGAGGAAGATGAAGTAGATAAGGAAGAAAAAGTTGAAGTGGGAGAGAATGAGGGAGATAAACTCCCTTAGCTTTCTCCTCTTGAGGAAGATGAAGAACTTCCTCTCTTACTCGCCAAGAAGCTCTCTCCAAAGCACCTCTAAGCTCTCCAAGTTTTCTCCAAGGAAGCTTCTTCAGCCCTTAAAAAATCTGAAAATGAGATGGATCTTCGGGGGGAATGAGGCTCCCCTAGGTTAAGCTCAACTCGCCCCTTTGATTTGACTAAAATGCCCTTGTTAGACCTCTTTGGAAGCTTCTAAAGGAGGGCTAAAAGAGACATTATCTACCTTCCTTTTCCATTCTCAAAGATCATCATCACCGCCCTGCAATTTCGGCTAACTTGGGGGTCAAATAAGCGCCAAAAACAACTTTTACCTGCAATCTGAGAATGCATCGACGCCTACGAGCCACCCAAGTGACGCCTACTTTCTTGCCTCTCGGGAAAAGGCCATTTTTAGGCACCAAAAACTGGTGCCAGACTTCTAGAAGCCCGGTTTTCGGCGTCTGGGGAGGCATTTGGGCGTCCAGGCGCCCGGGGTTGTCGCCTAAGCGCCGGTCTAGCCCCTAAATCTTGATTTACACTGGGAGCGCTTGACGGAGGATTTTCTTCATCTGTAAGCCACAAGAGACTTTATATGAGTGAAATGTAGTCACATAACTTTAAAATTGAGTATTTTGATCAGCCATTTATCGGGAAAATCACCGCAAACGGTTGCTCTTAGCCACAACGCGGGTAGGGCTTCGCGAAACTTAACTTTCCCATAGTGCCTGTAGGAGAACTTCATGACTTCAGTTTGTCATGGGAGGCTTTAGACGGATTTGCGGTGACTTCTAAACACCAGAATAGGCACCGAGTACATCTCGTGACTTGAACGAGCCCCTCCGATGGCAGGTTCTCCCGGGTATGGCTAAATCACCACATACCTTAGCCCCTTGCCCCGAACTAGTGTTAGAGAATCCCGAGTCGGTGTCTTGAGCTACGGGATACTATGAACGAATCGTAGATTATCTCGAGTCATGCGGGTGGACATCCTACACTCGTGACATAAAAAAATGATGTCAACACACACATACTTAGGCAACTTGATTTGTAATCAAGTCGTGAGTCTTGTTGCTTCTAATAAATAACAACCTACCTTATCTTGCATTATCGAGATCGATATTGCATGATTTTGAATGCGATTAGGAGGTTTAGATGACAACCCTTTCCAGGCAGGGTTGTAAATCCATTCACACATCATGTTTTCCTTTTTTTTTAGGTTAGGGTTCCTAAGTTTCACTTCTCTCGGTTAACTTCACCATAGGACTTTGAGATTGCTCATCTAAACGACATAAATCCTCACATTTAGTTTTCTACATGATTCTATGCCGTGCAACACAAGTCCTAACATTCTAATAAAACATCAATATGAAATATTAAAATTTCTCTTTAAAAAAAAACAAATGTCAAACAACAGGATAGCCTGGGATACTACCGAGGTTTCCTTGGTATCTTCGAGTGTCTCCCACCCTTTCTTTCTTTGGTTTCCATTAATAAATTGTTCAACTTTTGAGCTTTTTTCGTTTGTAAATCCAATGTCAAATCGTGCAAACCTAAACTTAGAAACTTTTGAGGACAAAACCGTTGTCTTAATCGAGAGTTTTATTAAGTAACTTTGGTTGCTTAAGATGCAATTAATTATGTAAGCTAGCCTTTATAGGAAGGAGAAGACCCTGAACCAATCTAAACTCTATTTAGTCTTCAGATTTGATAGGGGAAATGACTTATCAGTTTTAATCGCAGACCAGTGCAGATATCCAATGTTTTCTTAGTTTGGATAATCAAACTCATCATGAAAGTTGTATTTCTACCTTTCAAGGTAGTTTAGTACCTTCAATGATGTTCTTGATTATTTGAACAAATAAAATCTTTGAATCCGGACGACATTCAAAAGCCTCATGTTGGTGCAAAATGGAAAATGAAACCCGAACGGATACATCTAGCTTTGTTCTCTAACACAACATCCTAAGGCTTTTCTAAGAAAGCAAGAAAAGAAGACTTAAGAAGACATCACCTTTGCGATGTTTGTAATAGCATTCTCTCGGCTTAACCTAGCTCCTACCTTGCAAGGATGTAACCCTCCTTCTTAACAGAGATGAAACTCTTCTCACATCTCCAATGAAAGAGGAAGCTCACCTCTTTTCTTCAATGAAGCTCCTTCAAGAAACACTCCCTCACACCCTCTTCAAAATGTAGTGGAGAGAAGAGGAAGGAGAGTGGGAGGAAGAAAAGATTGAAGATCAGGAGTGGAAGAAGGAAGGAAAAGGGTTTTATGCTCACTAAGAGATTTTCCCCAAGCTCTCCTTAGCTCTCTTCCATGCTAAAAATGAGCTCTTCCTTACTATTTTCGGATCTCTTCTTAAACCCTAAAATGGCTAGGAAAAGGGAAGAAAATTTCCCTCCCATGCATAAAATAAGGGCTTAATGCCCAAGGAAACTCCCCATTGGCTTCTTGAGATGTTGGCAGCAGTAAGAGGCTTTCTATTGGACAATTAAAATCAGCCCATGACCAATGGGAAGCCAACAAACTCAAGTGGAGGAAAATGTCAACATTTTTGGCTAAACCAGGCTGGAGGTTGGTGTGGTCACGCCTGATCTGGATGTGGCCACGCCGGTCCCAGGCTTAAACTGGCCTGACTGCACTAGTTACTGGGCATAATCATACCCAAGTCTCTGTCTTGGTGGCGTGGCCACGCCTCGGCTGGGCATGGTCACGCCAGTCTAGGTTTGGAGTTTTATTCTTTGGACGCATTCCAGAGATTTTGTGTAAGCGCCTTTGGACACATAAAACACCAAATCTATGATAAGTGATCCTTAATCATTAAAACGGTACATATGAGTGACATAATATCGAAAATGAATTCGTCTGACAGTGGTTTCCTCTGGATATAAATGGGCCTGTCCAAAACCTTAATTCGATATGTTGAGGAGTTTTTTGTGCATGCTCCTAGTTATAGTATTCCCAGTTGAGTGAGACTTAGTCTCATCACATCCAGATGGATGTTAGGCACGTATTGTATTGGCGATCGAAGCCAGTTAAGGGCGGTCGTTCCCGACGATGGTCGTACCGACTGAAACCCTGATCCTCTATTGAGAGCATGCATTGTGGAGTCCCGATGGATATCTAGAGCTACGGGAACCTGCCATACAATCCCTTAGCATCTGATGGACATCCTATACCTGCGACATTAAAATTGATGCCAACAAACTTAGCGTACCTTTAATATCATGTTTGAAGCCTTTGTGGGTTGGTTTGCTTTTCTAACTATTACAACTATTGGAGTATTTTTTTTGCAAGCATATTTGATAATTCATTCAATAATCCACCATTCGCAACTTACAAAAATTTTGTTGTAGTTTATGAATATAACATGAACTGTCTCCATTGTTATAAAATAGTCATGCTAGAAAACTTAAATGATTTTTCTTTGTTCATTCACGAAAAAGACCTACACAAGGCAGGTAATAAAGGGGCAAGAAGAGTTGATTTTGTCACACCCTTGATCTGAAAGAGGTAGATCTTGACAACACAAGACATGATGAAATGAT